TAGACATATGGCAAGAAATCTGTAGACGCGCCCATAACAACAAAAGACAATACTTTATTGCACCTTTTCTGATAAGAAGTGTGTTATACAAAAATAAAGTTTTTGTAAACTTTAAATAATGTTGTAATCACAAGAAGAAAAGTGGACATGTCAACGTTTTAGAAACATTTTTGAAGACATTATTAAAAAAAAAACTGTAATATATATGCATGAATAATTTTAGACAGTAGTTAGTTTCTGAGGTTGTGCAGACGAAAAAAAATTCTGTCTAAATAAGGAGAGAAATAAAGTGACGTACTGGACAAAAGTGAAATGTTGAGAGAGACAGAAGCTGTTCCTCTCTGGTGCAGTTTGAGTCATGATTGCATTGTGAGTTAATTGGCGTTACCAGCAGACAGATATAAAGCTGTGCACCCTGATCAGATTGGAGCTTCCCCAGGCTGTTGAGGAAGCTCATGCGTGTAACCTGAGAGGAAGACACCTCAGGAACCTTTTCAAGGGTCTGTCACCGCTGTTTGGATTCCCTCCAAGTAACATTTACTCATCAGCAGAAAAACCAAACTCCACCGGCTGCTCTCGACAAAACCAATGGATCTCATTCATACCAGGAGACAGTGAATGATCTCAGGCCATCTACCAAAATCAAAACCATGCTACATGACCTTGCTGTGACATTATTCAGGAAACAGCAGCAGTAGCAGTTAAACCACCCGGGCTGATACAATGTTTAAAGTAATAGGAGTGAAATTTTCTGTAGATTTTTACAGAAATATAAATTAAATATAAATTATTTTTATTAAATTTTTTATATAATATGTGAATTTTACAGCTAATACATCTATATTTGAATATTATATATAATAATATTTTGAAATATTCTTCAATTTACGTGTGGTTGCTAGGGTGCTTGGGTTGGTGGTTAGAGTCATTTGGGTGGTTGCTAGGGTGTCATGTTTGGTTGCTAGGTGGCTGCTTACTATCTCTAATTAAGGGTGTATTCACACCTGTCTTGTGTGGTTCGAACTCAAGTTCATTTCCCCCCTTGGTGCGGATCTTTTGGGCAGGTGTAAATACAGAAATCGCACTCGGGTGCAGACCAAACCAAGCTGAAGAGGTGGTCTCGGTCCGGTTCCAAACGAACTCTGGTGCACTTGAGAATTTCTGTCCAATGAATGGGTGATGTTTGAATATTACCTCTATATCTACATTTGTATATTATGTAATAATATTTTAAAATATTCTTAAATTTACGTATGGTTGGTAGGGTGTTTTGGGTGGTTGCTAGACAATAGTCAGTGTCATTATTCTGCTCAAGTCAGTTCAAGTTTTGTTCAACTGAGAATTTCTGTCCAATGAATGGGTGATCTTAGCACACGTGTGGTTTTGTTTACAATTTCTGGTTCACTTGCAAAAAGGGCAGTGTGAAAGTGAACCACACCAAAAAAAATAAAAAAATCAACATTGTATTTGGCCTGGACCAATGCAAGTGAACTAGCGGACTTTCCTGGTGTGAATACACCCTAGGAGTCACAAGCCTCTCTTTATTTTCATAAAAAAATAATACAAATATTATGTTAACATATTATTAAATGTATTACTACCGTTAAAATATTATTTAATTTATTATATAATATTTGAATATTACATCTAATTTATCTCTATTCAAATATTTGTATAATACGATTTAAAATTATTATATATGTTTAGATTTCATATTTCATTAATTTAATATGGTTATTAGAGTGTTTTTGGTTGCTAGGGTGTTTAAGTGGTTGCTAAGGTGTTCTGGTGGTCTCTAGTTATGCCTCATCCCTCCTTTAAGCTCTGCTATGGGTTTAATATCCATTCACCTATGAGATTTATTATTCCTTCATGCTTTCATAAATCTCCTTTCCTTGTGTGTGTCATGGTAGCTGTGGTGGGGCGGAGAGAGTCCAAACTTCAGCACTTCCGAGGCACAGTCTCAGACATTTAGACTTTAGCATGCATCAGCTTTCTCTACAAGAGAGTGAAAGACATGAGTTTGACGGTTTGTTCCTGCAGGCCACACTCATTTACTCACCGCAGAGGATCAGATGGTTCTCGCTGTAGCTCTAGGGCAGCTCTTTACTAATGACAGGAGAGAAAGGGCCGCCACGGGCTGCAGATGCTGCACTTATGATGATCGTGGAGAAGACAGGCACAGTTTAGTGAATTACAATAATATCTGTGATGCTTCTCTGGGGATTTCAACTATTTAGGCTCAGTTAGACAGAGTACCAGCATTTAGTGTGATGCTGTCTGATTGGATGCGACACAATATACGTGCGAGAACAAATTATTGTGATGTTAAATAATAAGCTGACATTTTATCCTAATATAACATTCTGATGTTATACCACAATATAAAGGTAGAACATTACATCTAATACCATCTAAAATATCTATATTCAAATATTATGTACAGTATAATAATGCAGACACACATATATGTATATACATTTATTATTTATATCTTTAATTATACATAAATCTATATTCAAATATTATGTAATATTTGAAATATTATTTTATAATGTAAATATAATATTTTAAATATGTTCAGATATTATCTATAATAAATATTTAATATATTAATAAAAACTTTCGATATGATCTACACATACCGCCATGGCTGGATAATTTCATGTTCATAATCACCCTGGTATGCTCAAAATTGTAAATAATAATGGGAATATACTTCACAGATATTTTACTCATAATTTACAAAGGGTGCCAATAATTCTCAACTCGACTGTATATATATATATATATATATATATAAATACACACACAACCTTGATAGTACTGGTAGTACCATGGTACAGGTCCAGAAAAAATGATTTTGTAAGTGTTTTTGTTGTTTATTACAGCAATCTGTAGTCTCCTAACGTGTGCAGATAATACATGAATATAGATAGTATATTAAATATGCTAAATATGGATTAAATGAAACCACAAGCACTAAATCTGATTGTCCCTGTTCTGAGATATTTCATTCTCTCTCTTTCTCTCTCTCTCTCTCTCTAATTGTGGTCTGTTATTCATAGCTGTTCTCTCATCCTGAGTTCACATTCTTTCATATAATTATGTGGATGTATTTTCAAGTCATTTTTTCTGAGCCTCATAATTTATGGCAGTTAGGGGTTTATAGGACATGCGTGAAATTAACACCTGTTATTCTCTCAGGACTCAAATTAATTAACCTACTACCTTAATAGAGAACGGCAAGCACGCGGGAGGTAGCATCTGTGTGTACGTGGCCCACAAAAAACGTGTTGGATTCTCTGACACTGGCATTGAAAGGAGAGGGTTTTCGTGAACTTTGGTTGAAAAACTTCTCATTAACCCTCTTACAGGTAAAAAAGTTTCTTTAAAAAAATGGGAGCCATTTCAGTCATTTCATTTTACTGACTTAAACCACAAAGATTTTTCTTTTTTCAAAATGTCTGTAGTTTTTATTAATTAATTGAAGTACATCAAGTTAAACTAATTAGAGAAACTAGTGAGAAATGTTTTCTTGGCAACTAGTTGAAATAAAATAAGGGAAGAGTTTTTATTATTTTATTTCAAATAACAAAAAGTATATATATATATATATATATATATATATAATTTCAAATCAAATGGTCTTAGATTTAGTAAATCATCTTACATTAACAGGGTTATCTAAATAGGTTGATCTAAATCTAAGACCATTTGAGAAGTTTTTTTGATTTGAAATTATGTGCAATTTATATATTACAAAAAGTTTTATTTTGTCAGAATGCACAGGATTCGCTGAATAATTGAGAGCAGGACTGGACCGCCGAATTGCTTTCACAGTCTCTCTCTATTGTCCTTCCTGTCCAGTTCATTTTTCAGTGATTCCACATAACATAATCATGAGCAGTACGTGTGCACTGGGATGTCTCCGTGGTTTGTTGCCATGGAGACGTCTCGAGCAAACTTTGCAAGATACCATTGTCGCGCACAAAGTTATATTTTTAAACAAGGCTATATTCCAGTGTTTATGGTCATACCAGATGGTATTTGACGTTTTAAACAGCGATTTTCAGCTAGTTTGCATAATTTCAAAAGGTACAACTTACTTAAAGGGTTTACAATTGTTACCTTAAAGGTACATAATGCCTACTTTTGAAAAAGTACTGCCACAGTGACAGCTTTTGTACCTTTTTTTCTGAGAGTGTAGAGGGGAAAACACCCTTATGCTCACCAAGGCTGCATTTATTTGATCAAAAATAATATTATTACAATTAAAAATAACCGTTTCAATTCGAATATATTGTAAAATGTAATTTATTCCAGTGATGCAAAGCTGAATTTTCAGCATCATAACTCCAGTCTTCAGTGTCACATGATCCTTCAGAAATCATTCTAATATGCTGATTTGCTGCTCAAGAAACATTTCTTATTATTATCAGTGTTGAAAACTATTATATGTGTTTTTTTATGGGTTTTTTCAGCATACTTTTATGACAATTCAAAAGAAAAGCATTTATTCAAAATGGATATTTTTTGTAACATTATATTCATCATTATGTCTTTATTGTCACTTGATCAATTTAATGGGGCCTTGCTGAATGGAATTATTATGAATACATCCTTTATTTGAAGCCTTCATATATAATTAATTCTAAGTGTATTTTTAATGCATTACTCGTGCCTTGTAATGCATAGTTTGAGATCATGAATAATTGTAAACACAGATAGTACACTATAATACTCATCTATTCATTGCTACACCTTTAGAAAGTATAATGCTTCAAAACACAAACAACCAATTTCAGATGTAACAAGGAATCTACAAATATTATAATGCATTTTAACTTTAGTTCGAATTATACATGAAAAGATATAATACCTTACAATGTACATTATAAATAAATATGCATTATATATACAGGCTTCAAGTAAAGTGCTACCAAAATGCTTACTGACCTCCAATGAATTAAACCATGAATCTGTCTCTGTTTCTTCAGTTTGTGGCTCATCCTAACTGCCAGCAGCAGTTGCTGACGATCTGGTATGAGAATCTGTCTGGTCTTCAGGAGCAAACCATTGCAGTCAAGTGTCTGGTGGTTTTGGTGGTGGCGCTGGGACTCCCTCTGCTAGCTGTGGGGTATTGGTTTGCCCCGTGCAGTAAGGTAAGACACATTTAAAAACTAACAAAAACATGTCTGGGTCCTACAGTACTGGTTTAGACACACCTGTTTATTAGTATAGTCTATTTTAGGAATATTTTCTTAGCATATGTGAACTTTGTTAAGTCACTTTTGTTGCTATGATGGTTATTATAGTTAACTAAAACTAAAATTAAAATGAAAACTATTTAAAAAACACATTTTTGGTACTTGAAATAAAATAAACATTAACTGGAAAAAACAGAAGTTAATAAGTTTAAGTTAGTTATTTAGTACATCGGGGTCATATGATTTAGTTTTCCTTTCTCTTTGGGGTGTTACAAGCTGTTCGTGAATAGATAAGATCCCTAAAGTTGCAAAGACTAAAGTTACAAACCCAAAGAAATATTCTTTATAAAAGTTAAGACTTCTAAAATGCCTCGTTTAAACACGCCCCCACATATCTACGTCACAGTGTGGGAAGATTTGCATAACGCCGCCCAAATCTTCACACAAAGAAAGAAGGCGTAACTTTGATTCTC